TATGGTTTAAAACGCAATGAAGACAAGGCAATATTAAAGAAATTCATGTTCTTCACTACAAGTGCGTGTATAAAATTAAATAAAACAACAAATTATACGTAAAATACTTAAATAGTAATGGACGTAAATGTAAGATCATTCTCAATAGTGAAGGAATAAAACGTTTCTTTTTCAGATGAGCAGTTAGATAATTAGACATTATTAAAAGTCCAAGCAGTTTTTTATCAAAACAAATAAAAAACATTACAAATTTACTAATAAAAGTAGTAATCCATTCCAGAAAATATGATTTACATATCCTTGAAGTACGTGTAATTTACGAATCACACATCGTCCTAGAACGGTTGACAACATTGTGGTCATGCTTGGCTAGTTTTCATGTCTTATGGTAGAACAAAAAGTTTGAAAATCATTGTAAAGCAGTGCTATTTTTATTGTCTTCTATGAAATTTTTTTCTGATATTATCAACATGCACATTTTGAAAGAACCTTGCCCATCGTCAGCCATTATTTTTACAACAGAATACCCGATGATGTGATGTTCACTTAGTATAACGTCTATTATTTCTTCTGTGTCTGTCTATAGAAGAATTCTTTCTTTTTTTGCGTTACCTTTTTCAACATCAAAAATTAACACTACGAGATTTATATAAAGTATTTAAAAATAATACTTTTTCAATTATATGCTCACGCTAATTTTTTTGTCAGCTTTTTTGTCATATACAAGTATGAAATTTGTAACATTTTTCATTTATCTCGATGACAAACCGCTTGTACTTTTAAGATTGTCTAATTATCTAACTGTTCTTCCGAAAAAGAAACATTTTATTTCTTCACTATTGAGGATGATCTTTTTTTACGTCCATTGTTATTTAAGTACTTTAAGTACAAAGTTTGTTGTTTTGTTTAATTTTATACACGCACTTGTAGTGAAGAACATGAATTTTTTTAAAAATGTCCTGTCTTCGTTGTGTTTTAAACTGTACAGTTAACATTATAATACAACAATTACAAGTATTGTATACAAACTGTATTGTAAACGGAAATATTATATTGATATACGTTAAATTTGTATAATTGAATAAAAAAAAATTTCATTTCGTGAAAAAAATGGAAACTTTGTTGGTAAACGAGTATCTTTGTTCTGATTTTCATTTGAAAAAATTTTCATAACTTTTGTAATAACAAATGAAATCCCCTTCTCATTTTTTGCCATCATTTTTGTTAAACTTTATAGAACTTTTCGATCGTTGAGGCCCTATGTGTGCCAGAACAAAGTATTGCAAATTTATATGATGTTCTGCAGTACATTATAAGCTCAAAAAATGTATTCGATTCTCTAGTGTACTTAAAACAAATATTGAAAATCAAAATAAAACTCACAGATAGTTGTAAGAAGGAGCAAAAGTTATACAACAAAAAAATGAAATTATTAATTGACCGAAACAATCAAACATTATAATAAAATAGATAAGAATAAATAGTAGAAGTATAGTATACATACATACATATACACATACACACATATATAATATATATATATATGCGTATATAATAAATATATAATATAAATGTAAACAAAAAGATAATTTATTATTACTTCCGCTTCAAAAATAATTGATTAATTTCAAATAACATGAAAATAAAATTGTATTAAAGGTGATTTTATATTATTATGTGAGCTATTGCTAAGTTAAATTGTTTACATACATTAGTGATTAAAAGCGTCAGAGTGTCTTATAAAAAAAAAATTGAATTAAATAATTGTTACTCGTTTAGAACCCATATTACTGAATGATTATTAGTATTACTGAGTATTCAAATTTTAAATAATTTCGAAAGTAGCTAAGTGTATTTCTTTGTTAGTGTAACATAACTCGTTCAGTTTTTCAACTTTTGCTAATATCTATTTTATACAGTTACACTTATTATTTATACATCTATTCTTTATCAAGTTAGTGAAAATGACAATAAATATATATCTCAAACCTAATAGCAGTTGTACTCAAATCAAGGATTTTTCTGTTTATAATATTGCTAACTATTCGAAAAGGTACTTTGATTCATTAGTTCTCTAGAGCTCCTTTATTATACTATAACTGAAAAATTGCAATGTTGAGAATGCTTACTTGAACTTTTTACCATAATCCGCTAATTTATTAGAAATTGTACGCTTAATAATGCTTGTCGTAAAAATAGTAAGATATCGAATAACTATTGTTTAATTATAATTATGAGAATAGATTTACTTTATACAGCAACAGCGACTATATAAAGCGAAATAGCAACATAAAACAGTGTGATTAACTGGCCCCACGAGATCTCGACTTGTAAGGCATATTGCGCGCGTAATGTGGTTTCAGCCTGCGAGTATCTTTAGCGCCTCTAGCGTCTCTGGCGGGCAATTGAAATCAAAATCATCCAAAAGGTTTAAGGAAATAATTGAGAGGCTTGAGATAGTGTGCGGCACTTGACGTGCAGCAATCTTATATTCGATCGTACGCGTGCGAGAGCTCCATTGATCGTAAGCAAGTTCCTAGGGGAATAGACCTGATTAATTCAAGTGTTTTTACAAGAGAGAGAGAGAGAGAGAGAGAGAGAGAGAGACAGTTTCCCCGGAGGCGTAGACAGCGCATACAAGGGTACCGCACATATGTCGCAGCAGATTTAATCAGCCGCTACTTAAGGCTTCATCTGGGTTGTTTATCACTATGTGACGATCGGGAAGCGCGATGCGCAACGCGCCAGCAGATAATGGGATTGCACTTAATGGGCGTCGAATTTCCTGCTTGTGCTAAACCCACTAATTTGATCAGCTCATGGGGACCAGGCACACGGCACTAATTACAATTCACGCAAATAAGTTTGCGGCAGGCACAACTAGTATAATTGGCTGAAAAAAATATAGATGACAACAGGATCTTATCACAAATTGTTTACTTTTGAATTGATCGTATGTCATTTTTATGAGTTGAGCAATTCCTTTAAAATAAATTTAAAAAGTACAAAATTTTGAATAGGGTCAAAAGTGTGTAACTTTTAAACTGTTGAAATATCTTTAAGAAATGGTTATATCAATTATGTAATTGCAATCAAAGTTTTAAACTTTTTAATTTTGGAAATAATGACTTTCTTGATAAGTGATATAACTATAAAAAGATAAAATTAAGAGAATAGTTCAAGAAATACAGTAAATTATTAATATATATACTAATTTCATCATGCTAATTCCGCAGTTCTGCACACTCATCTCTTATTTGTACTCAGTTTGATACTTCAACTAATTAAAACTGTTATAGGCGAAATTACAAATTCTAAAACACATTACATACATGAAACAATTCTACGATTCGAAATGCTCAACGATCATCAGTATGAATTGGAAAATAAATATTCCATGATGATCCTTTAATTTCATAAAAATTTTAATAATGAAACTACTTTTAAAATGTTTAGCTAAAGATAATAGGCACCGCATCGAGATGGTTTCGCCTTTTTGTTTTTCTACTGCTGTCAGTTACGCCTGACAATTTAATTTTTCTTATTTTTAACATATTTTTTAAATTTTGTATAAGATATATTCATATAAATAAATATATTATTTTAATAAACATATACTAAATCAAGCTCGATTAAATATGCGAAATACTTTTTGCAAAATTAAATTTTCAATTTCAATAATCAACATAACTGCAACTTTTCAATAATTCAACCGCAACAATTTTGAAGTTTCGTTTAGATTTATAAATTTAAGTTCAATTGTTTTTTAAATAAATTACTGTGCTGAATGAAGCGAAATCACTTTTCAATATCATATAAGACATAATCGATCGAGTTATATATTATCGACTCTATATTGTTGATGGTGAATATTTGAAGCTAAAATGTGTAATAAAGATAAAGAATAATATTTTGAAGAAATGTATATATTTCAAATAATATGTAATTGTAAAATATAATAATTATTGCATTATGTTATTATGTGGTCAGATAGTTGAGCGAATGTAGGCGCTATTTTATTTTCAATGCCTTAAACTTGTTTTTACTTACATAGTTGGTAATATATGGATGTAATGCATTTATGAAAAATAAATTCTGCATCAATTTCAAAGCATATCAGCCGATATGTTAATATTATTGGATCAGGCGACACCACATATATACTATATTCAATACACGAAAATATACATTCATGTTGTCGCATAATAGTAACCAAGATTATTACTTTTCAGCGAATTCGATTACAATTACGATCACTTCCCTCCGAAGGCAATCACTTATACAGGATAATGATATTGAACCTTGTAAACATAGTTATATAAAGTAGGTTATTTTTTCAACAACAAAATGACAATAATATCAGGATTATTTATAAGAAATTTTTTAATTTATTGACAGAAGAAGTTATAGATACACATTTAAAAAAAGGCGCGTTATGTGTGATAATATTTAGTTCAAATTTATAAACTTTGAATAAATATATAAATATTCATTGTGATGCTTTAGAAGTCTTCATTGGTTTACATTACAGAATTAGGTGTTCCGACCATGAATGAACCATTGAATTTGTACTTTGTAATCATACGTTTATTACAATCATTTCAAGTTAAGTCATGCTGATAGATACTAATTCTAAATAATCCTGTGAACAACACTAGATGGTCAGCACTGCAATAGCTGCAGTTCAAAGACCGACACACGCACACACACAGACGCACACACACACACACACACACACACACACACACACACGAATACATATAAATTATATAAAATAGAAGAAAATTTAAAAAAATGAGCTAGAGTTAAAGTTGACTAATTAGAAGCCGAAATTTTGCCGTGCATACATATATGATTGTTTGTGATTGACACTGTTATAGCTTAATGAATAGAGCAATGTTTGGTACACATTGATTTATGTATGAAGTGCTGTACATGAATAAAAGTGCATGAAATGTTACGGTTGCACCTAAAATACTCATGTAAAAGGATTGTCTTACCGATTAATCGAGGAGACGGAGGGTACATTGTCTTGTGAGCAAATGCCTTCAGCTAGTAATCTGTCACGGATCTCCCAAGCAAACATTGTGGGATTATCCCTTTTGTAGTTGGCGATCGCATCGACTACAGGGGGCGTCGCTACTTTCGGCTTCGAGCCACCTATCACTCCAGCTTTAAAACTACCAGTCTCGTAATACCTGTAAAACATAAAAGGAATGATCAGTATGCGCGTGAGCTGGATATAGAGACAAGCATAAGATTTGCTTGCATGCAGAGTTATTTAAAGGAGCTGAAACGGTTACGACCCCCCAAGAGCGGAACTCGTTGCGGAGCGATCCGCTATCGCTCACTATGCACAAGAAGCCCTTTGTTCTAATTATAGCTCAATAATATTTTCGCCGGAGCTTCAATTGGATTATAAGCCTAAGGAACGAGGTTACTCTTTTTCTCTACCTCTCTCTCGCTCTCACACACATACACATATATTGCTATTGCTTCGTTCTGAGCAGTGATTATAATTATGTATGATTTGTGCATTTGCTTTATGTTCTATGATTTTCAAGTTTAAACTATATTCGTGAATGTGATGACTTCATCTGTGTCCTTTCACGATATAAGATATTAAGTACGTCCGTAAGATCACTCGATTGTCGAGTACGACAATATCTCCGACTTCTATCGGTTTTATTACGGATACTTCTGACATGAAAATCTTTGGGTTCCTTGCACACAGATACCGGGCACTTGGCATCTCGTCTGTCGTTTTCAACGTGCATCGGAACCCAGTCGTAAAGTCTTGCATGGGTTTCCACGTGAGATCCCATGCGACATTTCATGAGAAAACCCATATGAAATCCCAAATAGAATTAAAAAATTAATAGTGCTTGTGAAATTTCACATGAAATTTTGTACGGAATTTCAAAAAACATCTAAACATAAAAGTTCTACAAGAATTCGTTATTATAATACAATTGATACTCTAAAATAGACTTTTTGAAGAGCATTCCATTATTTCATCAAGAAATCTAAAGTAATATTTAAAAAAAAATAAATAGCTCTATTTTTTAAATATGCACTTACATACACGCAAACACACACATACTCACACTAACTAGGAGGTTCGGCACTCCTGCACGCTTTATGTACCAATCTTCGACGAATAAATACTTTTAGTACTGAGCATTTTTTGATCATTTAGTTTATTAATTTCTACTTACAAAATCATTAGTATTAATTCAAATTAGAAAACAGGAAAAGTAAAATAGAGTAAAATATAATTTGAACTTTAATTGATATAGAAGATCTGGTAAATATGAAAAAGTGTAATTTCATCAAAATAACTTGAAAAAAAATATTAAAAAAGTTAAATAGCATTAAAACGTATAAAAGATTCAAATAAAAATAAAAAACAGTGGCTTATTTACTCCCTCGTTGCTTCAATTGCTGACACCTAAAATAAACAACAATTTCTATTATTTTTATTGATTTAATTTTTAGATTGAAATGTAATAAATGAAAGCATGCAAGAAATTTTGCTATATAATAGAAAAGTCCTTAATGTAATACGTTTCCAACCCATTGTAACATTATTTATAGAAAAATAAACAAAAATTAATGATGTCACGTTTTGTGCAAATTTTCAAGAGTTTATTTTGAAAATAAAAATATAAAATAACAATATTATAAATACATCAGCAATAAAAAGAGAAAAAAAGACACATCTAACAAGAAAACCGTCCAACTCGTAATCACCGATTTTTATAATTAATCTTTTGATATTTTATAGTTCATACAAAAATAAGTAACATTTGTTTTTAAATTATTGTTAATTTTTTCCACTCCTGATGTTTGATAATTATATTAGTAATCTTGATCTTAGGAGTCGTCCCTATATAGGGACGACTCCTCAAGATTACTAATATAATTAACATTTGTTTTTATTTATCAGCGTCAAAACACTTTTAGGGAGTGATCTCAGCCCTTAAAGTACATCCCTAAAAAAATATTTTGCAATATATCCGAGGTTCTAATTGATATTTTACGATGAAACAAATTTTATTTGACTGCTAACGTAAATATGGAACTAATTCATGCAGTTTCGACCATAAGGGATACAAGGGACCTTATTTTTTTTAATGAAAATTCAACTCTTATTATGATTATTATCAAAAAAAAAAAAACTAAAAAAAATTGGAAAAAATATTATCGTGGATAGAATGATAAAACAAATTTGACCTGTTTGAGATTATTTTTTAAACCTCCCTCAAATGGATTAATTCCTGCCAAAATCAACTTTATGATGTATTTCAAGTTATATGTAATAATTTATTATAAATTAAATTACGTAACACTCCTAGTATAAATATACAACTTACGTATGCAGTTCTATCAATAAAGGGGTTGCAATTTCTATTTCTTTCAATGAAATTTCTATCTTTTTATGTCTATTATCATGAAATAATTTACTATGTATCACATTGCACATGACTCAGAATCAAAATATAGAACTTACCCATATAGTATCGAGCAACCCAACCCAACCCCTATTTTTAAAAATTAAAAATTCTACCTTTTTCGTACATATTTTTATTAAAAAGAATTCTAAATTATCCAAAAGAATTAATGAAGATAATTAAAATTTTTCCATTACATGATGAAACTCTATCGCAATATTGCATATCAATGATAATATTGTCCGGATTCTGTTTTTATCTTACGATAACCGGCTCTGACGGCATCCAGTTGTTTTCAATTGTGCTGACAATGAGTAAGCCATTTTTTTTATTAGTAGCTAAAGAAACGTTCTTATTGTTAAATATATTTCATCAACTTACTACTGAGCAGACAACATATTTTATTCAGCGTAGATATTAATAAAAAACTTATTCATTACTAATATTTCTTACCTTTTACGTAAGTATTTTTTTGAGATTAATTTGTTTATTATTATTATTTATTATTTGTTTACAAGTACATCCATGAATGTATTTATTGTATTTATTGATAAAAACTGAAAATACATTGATGTGACGATTTATTTTTTAAAAACAATTTATTAATACTAAATGATTGTTTTATTCCATGCTTCCCGATTTTTATTTAATTAAAACAAATAATTACAACCAATTGTATTGATTAAGTAATTGATTAAAGCAGTAACAAATTCGAAATATTTCATTTTATCAGCTATTTTCAAGAACAGTAATTTATGGAATTAAGCTATTAGTTATTTACCATGTACAATTAAATTATATTTTTCATTATGCACTTTATACTTCTAATGAAAATAATGTTTCTACAAAATAAAATATTAGTTATTCATATAAAATAATCCATTTTTGATTTGGAAATTTATAGTTATCATCACTAATTTTTATTCATATTAATATTATTTCGTAGTTTCATTTGTTTGATTCCATATGAAGATAATTATTTATCGCTGTTAACCCACTAACACCTGAACTACATATTTTTATAAAAAGTTTGGCTGTAAATTTTTTTTATAAAATACCTTTACTATTGTTTTCAAAATCGCTCTTTTGAATCTGTGTTTGAAATTTCTAAAGAAGTACTAATATTAGGAAATATTTTGAGGCTATTTTACAATCATAAATTTTTTGATAAAATTTATTGCCTGGACGTATTTTCTTCATAAAAATGTATATATATATATATATAGTTAAAATATACATATTTTATTAAATTTTTTTTATTTCAGATTTTAAAATGAAAATTAACCCTTTTAACCTCTTGAATTTATTATTAGTTTATTTCCAAACTCTATACATACCTAAAAGCGAGACAAATTATAAAAAAATGAATACGCGGAAAGAATTAAAAGCATTTTACTAGATTCAATAAATGATTTCAATGAGATTGATATGATAGTTGAAGATACATTGGATTTTCAAAAAGAATATAAAGATTATAATGGAAAAAGTAGTAAAGGATGAAGTTCAACACCACATTCCTAACCTTTTCCAAGCACCTACAGATCACTGTCCTTCCTTATAGTCGTTACCAGATATATCGTTTATTGTACAAGCATATTTCTGTTTTATAAACTATTATTTTATAATATTGTACTGTATGAATTATTACGTTGGAAGCTGCGATAAATATTTCAGAAGTTTTAATTAACTAACCATAATATAATACGATAGTATACTATAAGTATTTATAAGTATTTTTACGAATGTATTGTATCATCGAATAAATAAATAAAAATGATGTTTTGACTCGAGGGTATCATGCCTTAAGTGGCATCGATCTCTAAATTAATTAAGGTTAACTTGGTTTATCTGTATATATAAAAAATTAAAATCGAATGTAAAAAGAGAAGGGAAATGAATTAAAACGAAATTTGATAGGAAAAAGCCAAAATAACGCAAAAAACCTAGTTTATTGTTGAACACACAAAAAATAACGACACGCCACTAACGGACGCATGACACAAAGTACGTTTCAAGATGAAAACTGCTCTGCCACTGTCGATGGAAGGCTCTGCTCTGTGCTTTCTGGAAAAGGGTGCGCGATGCGTTTTTTCGCGTCTTTTGCTAGAACGAAGAGAAAATACGAATGGTTTTCTATGCGATGCTGCAGTTAGCAGCTGTAAGCAGAAACTGACTAGCTTGGCGGGAATACATGAGAAAGCAGAATCAACATGCGTCAATGCTGCTAATCGTTCTCATACAAAGTGGCCAAACTCAGTCGATAAACTGGAGTCTCGACTGCGACAATGGAACAAATGATGTTGATCAATATACGATGCAAGATCTACAAATAAATCTCTATATATCTTTAATTCCTGTTAGTTTCTGTTTTTTCTAGTTGTTCAGGCCGGAGAATTAAAAAAAAATTTCTCATTTCCTGGTGTTTCACAAAATGACGAAGATAATAAAAACATTTCGTCCAATGACATCGTTCGAATTGCAGGCTTTTTTGACATAGGATGGCCAACAAAAGGATCCGGAAGAAGTTACGATAGCTTATCGGGTACGGCGGGAATTATAGAGTATTTTGTCAAGAAAGTTATTTCGCAATTAATTTTGAATCTTAAATATCAGTTGTGTGATCGTGGTTACCCCAAAAGTGATATGTGCCCCCTAAATAATAGCATCAAAGTAGCTTTACTAAATAATATGGATGAATATATCATAGTATTCTTCGATTTAAAAACTGGTAGTCTTTCTAGTAA